AGTCTGGCAACCCCGCACGATGGCCAATTTCTTTGGGAACCCTGAGGTCACCGAGGCTTTCAGATATTGTGATTTTCGAGCGATGAGAACGACGGCATGGGCACGCGAATGGGCCCCACCTGAATTTCTCTTGGAACAGTTACCGAAGGAGGGGGAGGAGGTGGGGGACACGGAGAGTGACGAGGCCGAGCTGGCCCCGCTAGTTTGCGGGATCGAGGGCTGCCGAGCACGTTTCGCCACCAATAGGGAGCTCGTCAAACACCAAATATGGGCCACGACGCTCCCTGGACACGGCACCCCCCCGATCTTGTCCGTCATTACGCTCGACAATAAATGCCTTAGCTGCCAGACGATCTTCGGCAGCGTGGATCACACGCGGAGGCATCTCAGTGGCGCTTGGAGAGCAGGCAGGTGTATTCAGAATCTCACTCGCCACTGTTATGATTGGACCCCGTCTGCTGAGACACGCTGCCCGTTGGCTGAAGATACGGATCAACCAGAGTGCCAGGAACAATACGACGACCCAGCAGAGCTGCGGGCACACCTGGCCACACACATTCCTCATACATCCGTAGGGTTTCGGCTCACAGTCACTCAGCCTCAGCCAGCGCACAGTGTCCGCGCCCCAGCCGGCGCCCCCAGGCCAGTCGCGCCACCGCCGACCTTCGACGACCTGGACGACACTCCCGACCTTCGTGCAGACCTGCGCGCAGCGTTTCGTCAACTTGCTGCACGACGCCAGGCTCGGAGACGGGCACGAGAGGGACCAGTGCGACGACGAGTGGCAGCTAGACCTCCGCCGACCTCTGCTTCTTGGCCACCCACCTCGGCACCTTCGCGGGTAACAGCCGCGAGCACACCGCTACTGCGACCTCGCCAAGCACCGCCTGCTGAACCTCGAGCACCACCTGCACAAGATGTCGGGCGGCGCGGCGGCAGCGGCGACGGGCAGCTTCCAGGAGCCAAGCCCCCCTCGGCCGAGAGCAGCGTGGCGGACGGCCGCCCCAGCGGCATCCTCCCAGGCGTCTGGGAATTCTGGCGGCGACTCCAAGCCTCCCGACCCGAAGAAGGGAAGGAAGGGCGACAAGGACAGGGACACAGCCATGGACGACGCCAAGGGGGAGCTGCAGAAGATCCTCGACGGCAAGGCTGGAGGCAAAGGACGACATCGAGGAGGCCGCCGTCATCGCCGAGGCGGCCACACGGAGAAGAAGTGGACGAGCAAGGACGCGAACATCCAGCAGTGCTTGGCCGCGATAGCCAAGCTATCCCTCCAGACAGCGCAGCGGCAGCGCCTGACGATGGCGACGGTGGTCGACACGTTCACGATGCCGAAGGGACACCCGGTCATCACGGCGCTGTAGCAGACGCTGGAGGACTACAGGAAGCAGGTGCAGACCGCGCGCGAGGCAGGACCAGATCAGCTTCGAGCGGTTGGCAGCCCGACCGCCTCCCTGGCGGTCACCCTTCTCGAGAAGCTGGCCACATGCGACGTGGGCGGCGTGAGCCGCCAGCAGGTCAACGACTACCTCGACAAGATCGAACCGACGACGGGCGAGCCGACCATCACCCGCGAGCAGGTGGAGTTGGACGTGCAGGCCATCAAGATCGAGCAGCCTCACGACGAGAGCAAGGCCAAGCTCCTCATCGCGGGCCCTACGTGGCCCATGAGGGGCACGGTGACGCACGCCTTCAAGGCGGAGGGCGTCGCGACGAGGTTCACGGGCGTCATGCCCGCGGGCTGGCTGGAGGACGAGGTGGCGACGTGGTTGGACGTGCTGCAGCAGGGCTGACGACCGTGAGCCGCCGCCCCATCATCTTTGTTAGAGGTGAGACCGTGCCTGGCACGGCGCAGCAGGCTCCCCGACCCACCTCGTCCTCCTCCCATGGTGCCTCCTCCCCCCCGCCTGCGGACGGCACGGCACCGCACGAGCAATGTCATGAGGCTGATGAAGAGGCCGCGGCATACCTCTTCGGTTAGCGGGGAGACATTGTTTCTTTTCAAGTTCTCGTCGTGAGCTATTCTTGGGCGAATAGATCCAGACACCACGCATCGGAGATAGCTGAGCTGATGCACCACCGTCGGTGCCCTCTTGGGAGACACCTCGACCCGCGGCCTGCCTTTTGCCTGCTCCTCGCGTTGATGCGCGGGTGGCGCTCGCCCCAGGCCTGCGTGCTGGACCAAAGTACGGGCACGGAGCGTGCCTGCGACAGCTCGCCGAATCAGTGTATTGCACCCGTTTCCAGAGGCATTTGGGCTCCCTCGTCGAGTAAAAAGGCTCCTCCTCCTCCTCCTCCTCCTCCTTCTCCTCCTCCTCCTCCCTCCTCCACCTCACTCCTCCTCCTCCTCCTCCTCCTCCTCCTCCTCCTCCTCCTCCTCTCCTCCTCTCCTCCTCTCCTCCTCCGCCTCGCCCGCCTCCCTCCGTCCGCCCCGCAGAGCGTCAACGCCCCCCCCCCCCCCCCCCGTGCTCCTCCCCGCCCCCCCGTGCGCCTCCTCCCCCCGCCCATGCCCACCCCTGCTTTCTGGACCTGACGGAAGAGGGGGGGAGGGGAGATGCAAGACGAGGGGGCGGGAAGCAGGAAGGGGCAAGGAAGGGACGGGGGAGGACGAGGAAGGCCATGAGCGAGCAGAAGAGGGGAGGACAGAAGAGCACGGGCGGAAGGTGAGGACGAGGGAGAGGGGAGAAGGGGGAACGGGCCGAGACCTCTGGGGTCGACGTCCTGACAACAATCACGGCGTTGGGGGGCTGGGCTCGACGAGGTCGTGGCTCCGCGGAGCTGCTCGGCGGGCTGCCCCCCCCGGGCGGCGCCGGCGCAGCGCTCTGCCCCGCGGGGGTGATATATAGGCGTGCCGCTGTGCGCCGCGGGCCCGGAGGCCGGGGAGCACGCGGGACGGTGGCGCTCTCGGAAGTGGACGCGTGGTCTGATGGGCTTGCTTTCCACCACCACCACCAGAAGCTGGAGGGGGCAAGGGTGAGGAGGAGGAGGAGGAGGAGGAGGAGGAGGAGGAGGAGGAGGGGGCCCCCTCCCCCTCCTATACTTCTGGTGGTGGTGGCGGTGCAAAGCAAAAGCCCACCATACTTGGCGTGTCGCGCCGAAGCGCTGTGGGCCAGAGCTGGCGGAGCGACACTCCGTAAGCCCAAATTCCCGCCCCTCTCAAGGCACCTTCTGGGGCGTCCCGGGGGGGTCCGGATCCGCATCGGCAGAACAATGTGCGATATGATGTCCAGGAGGAGGAGGAGGCGGAGGAGGAGGAGGGAGGAGGAGGAGGAGGAGGAGGAGGAGGAGGAGGGGGAGGAGGAGGACCTTGCCGAGCTGCACGCTCTTGTCGAAGGCCTTGGGCGACGAGCTGGGATTCCCGACGAGGTGTTCGCGTGATATCCCAGGCATTGTCCTCTCATTTCGGCATCTGGGGCCCGTTTCCGATCCCCGTGGCTATCCAAAGTTGATCCGGGGCGGAACGCTGCCTGCAAGGTAGGTGGTCCAGAGCTCTGGGGCGCCGCGGATTGAAGCATACACGTCGTCGCATGTACAGAAGGCGCAGGGGTATGACTCACGATGCCATTGCGACTTGACGCGGTAGAATAATTACGCAATCCGCGAACGCGTCAGTAAACCACGCGTGTGGAAAGGAGGGCGCTCACGCGCGACCTCACGCTGACAGCTTGCGCGCGAAAGTCCGCGCGATGGACTCCATTTTGGAAGCGGCCGGAGGGTCTGAGCTGGACGTGCCCGCAAAAAATCTGCCAAAGGGGGGGGATCAAAAGCAACTTGATATGCCCCGAGGAAGGCGATTCGCTCAAAATCGGTCCCCGGGCGCCTTCTGGGGTCCATCTGGTGCAAAATTTATGGAACCCAGCGCCTCGAACCTCTTTTCCCCCCTCCTGCTGGCCGGAACCAGTTACCTCAGACCCCGAGCGGGCTCCAACCAGAAGGGGCCGCCCTCAGGGGAACAAGCAATGACAGAAACATAAAAACTCGGAGGTCCACACATATTTCCTGGATCTGCGCTGGACCCTCCTCCCTGCATGGCGCGGGGAGCGCACCAGGGGCGGCGCCAGAGGTGCCGCCGGGGGGGGCTCCAGCGCCGATCTGGGAAATTTGCGCGGACCTCCGAATCTGTATAGTTAGGTCAACGTATGTTCCTGGAACCCCTCTGTGGCCCCCAGAGCGCCTGCGTGCACGAGGGCGAGAGGAGCAGCCATGGAAGGACATTCCGAACCCAAACCGTTCCATCTTTCAGCGACTTGGCTTCCCAGAGCCCCGACGTCATTATTCTTTCATGACGTCGACCCCTGAGGTCTGGACTCATTCCCAGGACCCGTTTTTCATCCTGGGCCGTTTTTGACGGTCCCAAAGCCCGTGAAGGGCCCCTGGAGGCCAAAACTAGCGAAACACATATCGTCGTGACTATTCCACAACGCCAGGGGTTCTGGGTTTAGCGCGCCACCGAGAGAGTTCCCGCAAGAGGAGGAGGAGGAGGAGGAGGAGGAGGAGGAGGAGGAGGAGAAAAGGAGGAGGAGGAGGAGGAGGAGAGAAGGAGGAGGGAGAGGAGGAGGGGGGAGAGGAGGAGGAGGAGGAGGAGGAGGAGGAGGAGGAGGAGGAGGAGAGAGGAGGAGGAGGAGGGGGAGGAGGAGGAGGAGAGAGGAGAGGAGAGGAGAGGCGAGGAGAGGAGAGGAGAGGAGAGGAGAGGAGAGGAGAGGAGAGGAAGAGGAGAGGAGAGGAGAGGAGAGGAGAGGAGAGGGAGAGGAGAGGAGAGGAGAGGAGAGAGGAGAGAGGAGAGGAGAGGAGAGGAGAGGAGGAGGAGGAGGAGGGAGGAGGAGGAGGAGGAGGAGGAGGAGGAGGAGAGGAGTGAGGAGGAGGAGGAGGAGGAGGAGGAGGAGGAGGAGGAGGAGGAGGAGGAGGAGGAGGAGGAGGAGGAGGAGTGAGGAGGAGGAGGAGGAGGAGGAGGAGGAGGAGGAGGAGGAGGAGGAGGAGGAGGAGGGGGAGTTGGGGCTGTCCTCTGGCTCCGGGCGCCCGGAGGACAGCCCGCACGCGCGGCTGCACGCGTCGCCCATCGGCCGCGGCTGCGGCCCGCGAGCGCCTGCCGCGAGCGAGCGCGCGCGCGCGAGCGCGCGCCGCCGCCGCCGCCGACGGACGGGCTCTGCCCTCGACCTCCCGAGGCCCAGTGGAGGCCCAGTGGAGGCCCATCCAAGAAGAATAGACAATCTCAAGGCAACGCAGCAGAAGTCTGCGCACTCGTTGTTTTACCAGCGCGCGAGCACTCGTTCAGAAGATACCGGTTTCGTGCCAAGGGCTGCGGTGAATGGACAAACGAGGAAGCATGCACGAGCGGAGACAGGAGGCAAAAAAGGGGGGAACAAAAAGAGAGGGGCGCCCCACTCAGCCCCCCTCGCGTCGTGAAAGAATCACGGCGGGGGGGGTCCTCCGCGATGCTCGAGCTCCTGGGGCCTCCGCTGGGCCCCGGGGCCGTAACAAAGAGAACACGGCCCGGGAGGAGGAGCCGGTCCCGGGGAGTGGGTCGGAACCTCTGGGGGTCGACGTCATGAAGCAATTGACGGCGTCTGGGGTCTGGGCACGGGGCCTCCCATGCCATCTTTTCGGCTCTTGCGAGCCGGCGCGAATCGACGCCAGTCGATGCTGATCGACGCTAAAGCGACGCTGATCGACGCTATTGCGGCGCCATCTCATCGATCGTCGACGTGGGTCGGCCATGATCGGCGCGAGCGACGGCCGCAACAGGGTACACAAGGCTCCCAAGATCTGCTCCCGCAGGTGAATGCTTTCTCATTCGGCGTTTCGACTCTGGGCCGAGTTGGGCGTGGCTTAGTGGGGGGGTCATAAATGGGGGGGTCAGGAGGGGTCCCCTTTCGTGCCCCTTTCGGGCCCCTCTGGAGCCCCAGGGGGCTCGTTTAGGTACCGTTTGGGTACCTTTTCGGACCACCCGCGACCCCCCCCATTTATGACCCCTCCATTACGCAACGCCCAACCGAGGAGGGGGGGTCTGGCTCCGGACCTCTGCTCGATGCGACTGTTTTTTTTCAATGCGTCCTGTGGAGGGAAACTCCACCTGCTTGGAACAGGCTCCAAGAACAGCAAAAATCTACAGTCGGGGCCTTGACCTAAGGAACCGTAAATAAGGAACGAGGCCCCTTTTTTTCCAGAGATTAAATTTCGATTTCCTACCGGAAACCTAAAGAAAACCCAAGGCAAGCTGCAAAACACTTAAGGAACGCGGAGCCCCTTCCCAACGAAAAGGGTTCCTTCTTCAGGGCCCATGGGGGGGGGGTTGCGAGGCCCCGCGCCGATCGGCAAGACAGAGAGCAAGAGAAAACGATCACCCGTCGAGGGACTGACAGGGAGGCGTGAATTCCTCCTCCTCCTCTTCCTCCTCCTCCTCCTCCCTCCTCTTCTGCTTGACAGTATCATTGTTATTCCTCCTCCTCCTCCTGCTCCTGCTCCTCCTCCTCTTCCTGCCCCGCCTCCCTCCTCCCCCACCTCCTCTTCCTCCTCTCCTCCTCCTCCTCCGCCTGCCCGAACTTCCGACGTGTATTTAATGGTCCGAGCAGGGTTTTCCCTCGAGGGTGGTCCTCGGCTGGCGGCGGTCCCTCTGCCCCAGGGCCATCGGGAGTGGACTGGGGGCAAAAGCATCCCCCCGGAGGAAGCGGTCGGGGCCGCTTGGGCTGCGGGCGCAAAAGCATCGATCCCAGACCCCCTCGCGTCACGAAGAAATCACAACTGGCAGATGTTCTATATCTTCTCGGCCTCCCAGGGCCTTACAACCAGGCGTCGGGACAATGACGCTACCGAGGAACCCCACATACTTATATTATGGCTGGGGTGATGATAGCTGGAGTGAAGCATATGAGAATGATGTTGGTGGCCGTTGCCCCGCCGATGCCGCAAGGACGACCGTCACAGATAGCGGCCTCGCTCGGGGACCACCCCGTGCGCATCCCCTGTGGTGTCGAGAAAACGCCACGCCTGCCGTGTCCTGGACGACCGTCACGGATAGCGGCCGCGCTCAGGGACCACCCCGCGCGCACCCCGCGCGGTGTCGAGAAAACGCCGCGCCTGCCGTGCCCTGGACGACCGTCACGGATAGCGGCCGCGCTCAGGGACCACCCCGTGCGCACCCCCTGTGGTGTCGAGAAAACGCCGCGCCTGCTGGGGCAATGACGACCGTCACGGATAGCGGCCGCGCTCAAGGACCACCCCGCGCGCACTCCCCTGTGGTGTCGAGAAAACGCCGCGCCTGCTGAGCCCCGGACGACCGTCACGGATAGCGGCCGCGCTCAGGGACCACCCCGTGCGCACCCCCTGTGGTGTCGAGAATATGCCACGCCTGCTGGGGAAGCCTCGGTGGAGCTTCCGATGGCCCTATGGGGCCACGAAACGCCGTACTGGGTGTGGCAGACGCATGTGGTACCCCCCACTGGGGCCTTAGGTGGAGCTCCATGTGGGGCCACGAAACGCCGTACTGGGTGTGGCAGACGCATGTGGTACCCCCCCCCCTGGGGCCTTACGGGGAGCTCCCTATGGGGCCACGAAGCGCCGTACTGGGTGGGTGAAACGCATGGAGGAGGGGGGAGGAGGAGGAAGGGGGACGCGGGGCGCTGTCTCCTCAAAACGAGGACCCAACAGCACAGGATGGTTGGGAGCAAACCAAAACAACACAAAAAAACAAAGCAAACAACAAAACATCAAATAAAAGCACCTCAAAAACACAAACACGCAACAAAACAAAAAACACGCGGGCCGCGACCACAGTGCTCTCCTCCTCCTCCTCCTCCTCCTCCTCCTCCTCCTCCTTACCCTCCTCCTCTCCTATTCCGCCCTCCTCCGCCTGTCCTCCTCCTCCTTCGCCTCCATCCTCCTCCTCTCCTCCGCCACCACCTTCTCGTCCTCCTCCTCCTCCTCCCGCTCCTCTCCTCCTCCTCTCCTCGCTCCTACCTCCTCCTTTTCCTCCTCCTTTTCCTCCTCCTCCTCCGACCCAACCACGGAGGCCTGGGAAAAACAAACCAGCACGCAACGAAACAAGGAACACGCACAGGCCGGCGCCTCCGCACGCGCCGCGGCCCGCCACATAGGGGGGCGCGGCGCCCCCGCGGCCACGGCCGCCCGCCGCGGGCGCGGCGCGCAGGCTGTGCGCCCCGGCGAGCAGGCCGTCGCCGTCGTCGTCGTCGCGGTCGTCGCCGTCGTCGTCGTCGTCGTCGTCGTCGCGGTCGTCGCCGTCGTCGTCGTCATCGTCGCCGTCGTCGTCGCCGTCGTCGCGGTCGTCGTCGTCGTCGCCGTCGTCGTCGTCATCGCCGTCGTCGCGGTCGTCGTCGTCGCCGTCGTCGCCGTCGTCGTCGTCGCCGTCGTCGTCGTCGTCGTCGCCGTCGTCGTCGTCGCCGTCGTCGCCGACTTCGTCGTCATCGCCGTCGTCGCCGTCGTCGTCGCCGTCGTCGTCGCGGCCGTTGTCGTCGTCGTCGTCGTCATCGTCGTCGTCGTCGTACGGGAGGCCGCCTCAGGCGCAGAGAATCTTCGCCGCTAGGAGCCCAGACATCTGACGTCTCGATGTTTTCGAGACACGGGCCCCCGACCTCCCGACCACTTCCCCGGGACGGCTTTTTCGTCCCGAGCCGTTTTTGACGGCCAAGAGGCCTGACGAGGGCCCCCAGAGCCCGAAAAAGGACGAAAACATCCGTCTCGACTTTTGCGAGAAGCCCGATGTCTGGAGTGCGCAGGCCACCTCAGCCACTGGAACGCGGTGTGCCAGTAAAGGCCTCCTAGATGCGGTCCGAGTAGATGGGGTCGGAGGATCTCGCCGATGCATCGGCGATGTATCGGCCATGCACTGGCGACGTCAGCGTTTCTTCGGCGACGTCGGCGTGGAGAACATTGGGCCCCACATTGAGCCGCATCGCCGATGCATCGCCGATGCGGCGCGATCCTCCGACCCCATCTACTCCGTCCCAATCTTGTCTGGGTGACCCAAAAGGGGGTCCAGCTGAAAGGGGGTGGTGCATTAGATTTGGGGCAATAGTATCGCAAACGTATTGCGCCAGAGAATTGGATTGCATTGTACTGCAGCTAACGTTTTGCACGCGAGAACCCAGCGATACGTTGGCGCCCCAGGGTGCATTGCACGCCCCACATGTACTGCAACCCCACAAGTCTATTGCACCAGATCTATTGCACCACCCCCTTTGTGGCTGGACCCCATGTTGGGTCAACCCGACCTGGGAGGCCTAGAACCATGTGCAATACGTCCACGCTGCCGGTGGGGGGGCGGCAGCGCCGTGATCAACCAGAGGGGAGCCCCGCCTTCCCCCGCCGGGCCGAAGGCAGAGCAACAATCCGCTGCGGAGCGTTGAAACCGAGACACCGTCGGCGGCCGTCATCGGGCAGCGAGGCCACGAAGCCCCAACAGAGGCCTGAGACAGAAGAACGCTGGATGGTGGAATCGGCAGGCCCCGAGATCCCGGCGTCTCATCTTTTCCGAGCAAGGCGTTCGTGTTCGCTCTTTTCGAGGCCCGGGACCCTCGCAGATCGATCCGGCTCGAAAAATGAAGACGAAAGATGGAGTCCAGGGTCTAGGGATCCGGGCGTAATTTTTTGCGATGCTGCATTTGTTCTTGCAGCGTCGGACCTCAAGGAACAGTGGCAGAAGCGCCACCGCTATCCAGTCTTTTTTCAATCATGATCCCCCTCCTCCTCTTCCTCCTCCCCCTTCTTCCTTCTTTCCTTCTTCTCCTCCTCCTCATCTTCCTCCTCCTCATCATCATCAACCACAACATCATCATCATCATCATCATCATCATCATCATCATCATCATCATCATCATCATCATCATCATCATCATCATCATCATCATCATCATCATCATCATCGCCCTCTTCATCCTCC